ATGACTGTGAGCATCGCTTACAACATTAGGTTTTGTTATTATTAAAGCTGTCTTCAAGGAATGCAAAGTAATTTCAAAATGGACAGATTTGTCTCTGGGTGTGCTGGTAAAGATGAATAGAGAAGCTTAGCATGGATTTTTCACATTATACAAAACTTCCAGCTCCACTCCCCAAATATGTGGCCCCTTCTGGAGGACCTCACAGCCACCATGCTGAGGCTCAGCATTACTTGTCAAATGCCTTCTTCTTTGGAGTCCTGGTGTGGCACCATAGGATAAGCAACCAACTAAAAGGCTGACAGCTCAAACTCACCAGTCACTCCTCAGAAACTCTATACAAGGTTGCTATGAGTCGGAACCGACTTGACAGCACTTAACAAGAAGAGGCAACTAAGAAGAGGGAAAAACATAGGGCGAGAACAGGAGTAAGAAAGAGATAACAGCTAGACTTGCACTTTCTCTGCCTTCTTATATAGAGCTAGACCATCTATCAGGACAGTGGAAGTACATTTATGCAGGACGTCAGTTTGTAACAGTCTCTGCCTGAAGCTCTCTTTAAGGAGAAAACATATTAAAGACACAAAATTGGCAATAGGCATACATTGCAATCAACAGTAATCAGTGAAGTGAAATCCAGAAGACAGCAACAAAGGGCTTTATCTCACAATGCTTTCATGACCTTGAACTATGGTAAAATATGAATGATCCTGAGAATCTCATATACCACCAGTAAATATTCTACCAATATGACAGTAGTGGTGGTGGTAGTGGTTATGTGCCATGGAATCGGTTCCGACTCATAGCAACCCTGACAGTAGTACAAAACACAAATTTAAAGGAAGAATAGTACAGTAGAACATGTATTGACTCCTTTGGATCCTGAACATTCAAATGCACACACAGTACTGAAATCAAGGGACTGTGGCAGAGATCAGAGAAGACACGGAAGATAACATAGTTTCTGTGCTCAAAAAGCCTAACTCAGGAAAATCCAGACACTATAAAACCTGTAGCAAATATCTACGGGATTCAGCCATCACTTTCAGGTCCCAGCAAATAATCAATGGCTATCATATGCACCTATTCACCTTACTAATTCTTTTAGACTCTAGGGCCAGCCATGTTTCTGGCCAGCAACAATTCTGTTTTAAAAAAAAAAAATCATAGGGAAGTACTACAAGCAATGCTCCCTTACAAGTGGCTAGAAGCACTACAAGGCTGATGAGGAACATATTTTACCCCACTGTAACACTCTGAAACCTGAATGAGCCATCAGGGAGAATTTAGGAATGAATTTTAGTTGACTATTTATTACCAATGGGTCTGACCAAGGCTCCACCTTTAGAAAGGAATGGCTCTTTAAGTATTAAAATGAGGGTTTAATTGTACATTATAACTAATAGTACTTGAGATGAAAGTAAATGAGCCACTACCCCCTCACAGGTACCAAGAGGGGTCAGATTTCCCATTTATCAGCAAGCAGGCAGGGTAGGCAAGTATCTCAATCTCAGACTCTCTTCTGTGGCTGCTTCATGGGCGACTGAGGGGAACACTTCAAAAATGAACCAGCTAAACAAACTTCCCAGCAGCACTTGACAGAGCTACACCTATTCTTCCCATTTCCAAAGCAGTGGAGAATTAATTACCAGTTCTATGGATCTATTGTAAGTATAATAGACTAAAGAGCTATCACAGACACATTTATTGTAAAAGCACAATCCCAAGAGTGTCTAGTAGAGGGCCAAAACGATTAACACAAATGCTTTGTCAGATCAAAGATAAAACCTGCACCGCCCAATTGAGGAATGAATTAGAACAGTGGGTTATCTTTCAAATTAACCAGGGCAGTTAGTGAGGAAAATTTCATGAAAGTGTAATTCTTAGCCTTTGTGAATCCACACAGCAGGCATTCTGCCAGCTGACAAGATGATGAAATTTTCATGCTTAAAAAAAGCCCTCTTCATTTCCCAATTTAGATTAGCTAGTGTTTCTCTCCCTTTTTTATTTGCTCTTCTAGAGCAGAATTTCAGGGATGGGGGAACATGAATCCATTTCCCCCTGCAAATTGAGTCCTTCAAAAGCAACTCGAAAAGCTGAAGAGATACATACTGTCTTTAAACTGGCTTCCTATGATATTAAAAAAATATCTATCAGGTCACAATTTTAACTTCAAATAGAGAAACCAAAAGGCCCAGGCCATAAAATCAACTTTGCCTTAAAGCTCTCTGTGCTCCCTTCAAAATGTCAACATCTCTCAGGATCCAGCTCTAGAGCTGTTACACTCCTAAAGAAATTAATATACTCCGATAACTTCAAATTAGCCTTGCTCAGTGCTTTTTTGTATTTCAATGTATATTTACATTGAAATGTTCTAGGAGATGGGAATTAGAGGGATATAATCATTGCTAGATGGCGAAAGAAGAACGAGCGTTCTGTCACTTATTAAAGTAGCCAATACTGAAATATGATATGACAGATTGGTTCTCAAAAATGTAAGCTTGCGCTTTTCCAAAAGAACAGTGATTTAGAAGGATACTTTCTTTTTCTTGGCAATCACATTTCTTGGCGATCTGGAACTATGTTCCTTGGCAGTTATAGTGTTTAGTCCAATACTACACTTCACTTACCTAACTAAAGTCCTTTTGTTATGGAAACACTTTTCTTTCTCAACATAACCTGTACTTCCCCTGTAGTGATTCTAAGACTAAAAAGAAAGAACAAAGCATAGATTCTTGCTCTGAGTCTACCAACAATTCTTATGTCCTATGGGTAGTATTTTTAAAATTGCAAAATAGGAGGAAACACTTTTAGAAATTAGCTTCAGTAATCTGTCACTTAACCTCAGTATTTACTACCAATATCTTTGTCTGTAGTACACTTGGTATACTAGTCTCTACTTGGATTATCATCAGGATGATATATCACAGAGAGCGAACAATAATCAGTATTATTGGAGGCACAGTAACAAAGAAACTCAATGCAATGTCCCTCTACTGCCTAAAGTTCCTCTAAGGCTGGGCTCAGGAGGAAACAGAAAGGTCTACCATGATAAACAACAGAGAGGTGCAGGAGTTTTGTATATGAATGAAAATATACAAGACGTTTGTTCAGCATAGGGTCATGAAAAGAACAATGGAGCTCTTTCCCTCCCATCCAGTAAATCCTACATGATAAAGATCATAAAGCATAGATATCATTTCTAATTTTCATGATAGTCATATTACGTTCCAACCTTAGAAGTGACATTTGGACACTGAGATTAAAAATCCCATAGAAAAGTCAAACAAGTGGGCAGTTAACTACAAGAAAACTGTCACTTGCTGTTAGTGAGATGGCTGGTGGATGACATGGCAATGACAGCAAATGCTCGAGAAACCTCGGGTTCAATTTTCTGGATCCTGAAATCTCAGTTACTTAGCTTGAAAAATGCTTATATAATCATCACCACCACCATCACACATACAAAATTAAAAATCAATCTTTTAGTTAGGGCATATTTCTAACTAAACAGAAGATAATTTTCCTACTTATTCTCCACTTAGTCAAAACAGATTGTCCCTTTTTATAGAAGGAAATAAGATGAGCTTCCTCTAGTATTAACATTTCCATGGTGAAGATTTGGATAGACTAAACACAAAGAGCAAATTCCGAATTCTTCCCAAGAGTCATGAATCATGCTCTGTTCAATGAGGTCTGTAAATGAGGAACTGAACAGTTTTGATTGGGTATCTTCATGCTAAATAAAGGCCAAACATTTCATGCGCTGAACGTTTCAGCCACTGCGGAATGTGACACCCCTCACTCCCCACCCACCCAACCCCATAGCCTTTATTCCCACCCAACTGTTCATTAAAGGCAGCACAAGATTATCCACTAAAATGTTACAGATTTAAAAAAAAAAATGTAGTCAAAATTATTACTGGGGGGAAAAAATACACTTAAGACACACGGACTTTTTTTTTTTTTTTTTAAACAAAAAAAATGATTCTACTCTAAAACCACAACACTGGGACTGTAGCTTCTCACTCTCCAATCTAATGATCTATTTTCATATAATATGTCCCTCTGAAAGAATATTAGGTGTTAACGAACACATAAGTCGAAATTATAAAATTACAGCGATAAAAGTCATGGATCATAACAATAGAGCTTGAACATCTTCCTTGAAATGACTTGCCAATGTAGCATCTCTAAAGAAATTAGTTAACTTTCAAGCATTAAGAAATGTGTTTAGATGACAAATGGGATAATGAAATGCTAAGAAAAATCAAATGGGAAGTTATCTTTTTTTAATTCTTAATTTAAGTTTTTTCTCCTCAAAACTGCATTCATTTGAAATGTGTTAAAAAGTAAAAACAAAAAACTTAGAATAAAAGCCTTCTTTCTAACCCAGACAGCTTTTATTTATTATTCAATGTTCTGGCATTTTAGCTATATATTTATAAGGATTAGACAGTCTCTTTACAATACCAGACCAATTGCATTTAAATTGAAAAGATACTTATTTTGATTTACTTGGAAATGTAAGCTGTGACATGTTTTAGATTATCATATAAACAGAAGAAGTGGCTAGTGGGCAGTTAACTAAAATCCTGATTTTATGGTTTAACTTGCCAAAAATAGGCAATATTGACTTTTCTTCCTCTGTCCAAAGACTTGAGTGACCAGTTTAATCCTACTTAGGTAACAATATAATAAAGCATTTCCTAATGATGTTCTCATTTTTTCTTAAAAGCACAAGATCTCATTATTTAAAATATTGCTCATTAATGAAAGAGATGTAACGCCCAGCCCAATGGAAAATCAATTCATTTGTCATGCTAATATGCAAGAATTGCACACTTTATCGTATTTGTATTAACCAGGACGTTTCTCTAAAATCTTTTTTAAATTGTCAGTTTCAAAGACACCAATACAAAATCATACTGTTTTACATTAAACCAAATATCAAGAGTAAAGTCTAAAGTTGTGTATACAAAAAACGCATTATGGATACTTACATCATAGTATTTTTTAATGCAACGCCTAATGTCCATGATCAATTTATTGCTCAGCTGTACTGTAAAGGCCAGAGGTGAAGCCTTACAATCGATGTTACTGCAACGGTACAAGCTGGGCTCCATATCGGTTCCCTACAGAGATGAAAAGGAAGTCAAGACAGACAAGTACATAAAAGGTTATTGCAAGGTTATAAAAGGTTTTTTGTCCTTAGAAACTTACATGCTATCCTGGTGTGCAGCATTAATCCATTTTATTGGTGAGTGTTTAACCCTATTTTCACAACTACTTTCCTCCCAAGACCCCTTTAATCACATACATCTTTCTCTCTTTTGCCACCATCATATTGATGGCAAAGTTGAAGGGAAAACCCTGAAATCACTATTTAACATTCAAAGCATGATAGAGTCTGTGGATAAAATAATTTTCCCTCTGGAAATACCCGAAGAGCCAGATTACTAGAAATAGAGAGCCTTCTTACAGATACGAACCAAAATGTTTAATTTTTGTACATATTCATTCCAAATTTGAAGACGAAGCAAGAGTCTCTGACATCCGTTTGCTTTCATATTATCCACTTACTTTAAGAATAAAGTATAAAAATTAAAAGTGTTACACCACAAAACAATATCACTTATCTTCAGCCTAATAAATCTACAGTTCTGTAATTTTTCCAAAATTTGAAATGTATTCAGGGGATGGGAAGCAGTAGGAAGGAATAGAAACCTGAAAGAGTTAACTATTAGTATTTGAAAAACAGTGTTTTGTGTTGTTTAAATACAAAACAACCCCCCCCCACCACCACCAAACAAAGACAAAGCAAATATACAGAAAAATTGTTGGGGTTTCTAGAGAATTTGTTTTCCTTCTTGATACTTAAACATCTTGGTTTCCTGCTCCTATCTGGTACAAAACCCTACCCACCAAACTAAGCAATTCCAGGTGGAAGAGATTTTAGAGCTTGACATCGGCTCTTCCAGTTAGCCCATCTGCAAGTCGTCAAGCCTCCATGCAATTAACTATCTTATTTACAGCTGTAATGAAGCAAAGCTCAAGGATTTAGCAAGTATTGCTGATCTGTGTCTGCCTCTTCCTCTCACTTGCTTCCAAAGGCTGCTTTGTTTTGATTCAAAAAAATGCAAAACATCTGCTGTTTGTCCAAATTAACTTAAAATAATTACTTTTAATTTAGATAAAGGACTCCCCTCCCCCCCAAGTTTCAAGGTTTTGCATAGCTCTGCTGCCTACTCATGTACCAATGGCTAGTACATGTATAACATCGCAGTGGAATCAAGTAAGTTGGCCAAGTTTCAAGTACTGATCCAAGGTCAATGATACATTTTTTGGCAGGACTTCTTGAGAGGAATGTCTCCTTGTGATTTTTAAATGTCTCATATGCAAAGACAGCAGAAAAGATATGAGTACCTTTGTCAGAGAGGAGGTAAGTGGGATGTATAAACGAAAACTTTCTAAAAACACTTAGTTCCCATTAACTTGCTTTAAGATAACGGAAAATATTGCTCTAAGTCTTAATAAATGGGGGTTGGGAGTAGGGATTCTTTACTAATCAAGGTATTACAATTAAAAAATACTTTTAAAGTAATCTAGAATTTTTTGAGAGATTCCATTTGAAAACCAAGGTCGCTCTAGGAAGCCAAAAACAATATTCAAGCACATTTAATTAAGAGTTTTCAAGGAGAAAGACAGTGGTGAAGGCAGAGTTCATATGATGGTAAAATTCTTTAAACCCATGAAGGAAATGTGTAAACATGTTTTCCTTTTTGCATGACAGAGTAGGAGATGGGGAAGCCTTTCTACTAGTTCACTCTCAAAATGAAAACAGGAAAGAAAAGGAAACTAACCGAACCATCAAAGACATTATCGTAAATATTCTCGGTCCCACACATGGGACATGGACACTTGAACCGCTCACAGTCCCTGTATTTCTCTTCATCAGTGAGCTGTGCTGGGCCACCAAGTAAAGCATCATTCTCTTCATCTTTATAATGGTGAACTCTAAATTGGGTGGGGTCGAGTCCTGTTAATGTAAAAGATAAAACAAATTCAGAAGGGTACAGTTATTTGAATTCCCTCCCTCACCCCAAAAATACCCAAAGAAGAAAACTCTCATAGAAAGAATGATTTTTAAATGGACACACATACACATAGCCATTTTAACTCAAGATAAGGGCTTATCATATGAACAAAAGACTTTCAAAAAACAAACAACTAAGGGATCACTATAAATAAAACAAGTAAACGGCACTAGTGCAACACAAAATATGCTACTGGACATATGGGTTCAGAAGCAACTACTTCTATAGAATGGTTGTATTATTTTCTTAAGGTCACAATGAACATCTCAGATAAACATGCAGTGTTAATACGAAACTCTCTTAAAATCAAAGTGGCACCATTAAAACTGAAAATAGAGAATAAAAACCCCATTAAAGAAAACAGGTTCACAGCTATTACAACTCCTTCAAGTGGAGACACAACTGCTAACCCTGATTTCAATGCAGTGGTCGATTTCATCTTGGCTCAGTAGTTAACAGCATGTAGGTTGCAATCTAATTCAGTGGTTAAAATTCAGTAGCCGCATCTGAGACCAAACGCAACATGGCTTTTTGGTGTTCAAAATTCAGAAATTTAAAACATGTGCAAACACAATGGATCTACAGATTTCATAAGCCAAAATGTTCCCCTCGCAATCCTGAAAGCAAATGTATCTTCCATATTTCAATTGAAGCAATACAAGAACATAATCAATGCAGCCTATGCTAAACATTTTTAGGCCAGCCAATTTAAATTATCTCTTAGTCAAAGGATATTAGATGTGTTTAGGATTTGAATTTATATTTATGAATAATTACTCCACTTTGTATCCTACTCTCTCTGTCTCTCTCTATATATACATGTATATATATGTATATGTTCCCCTGCAAGCAACGCCTAAGAATTTCAGACATTTTAGAAAACTAAGAACAGTGCTCATAGGCATTTTATTAAACAGGTAAGTAATATAAAATCTAGAAATTTTGAGTAATTCCATTTGAAAAACAAGCAAAACAGTTCAAGCATACCAAAAAATGTCTAAAATCTAGCAACAGTTGCATAGGCAGATAATCTAATAGAAGTATTTGGAATTCAAGGACAAAATCCTAAATCCTATTTGATCAGTGGTTAAGAGACATCTGGTAATTAGACAACTCATCTTACAGTGGAAAGGTGCTGAACAAAAGACGCTGACGACCACTGAGCCATCAACTCTCATCTTTCTCACCTGCTAAATGGAAGCAGTGTACCAGAATAACATGAGGGGGTTCAAAAGTTTCATAGAAAAATTCCATTCTCTTTCAATTCCATTTTTCCACAAACTTTTAGAGCCCCCCCCCCACACACACACATATTACAAACTGCTTTCCATGGTGCCCAGCCAATTCAGTACTCAACAAACATCACGTGAATGAAAAACAATCAAATAATGAAGAAACGTCATTTAATCTAGACTGCTGTAGGATAAGCACTGGCCTGTGGAACACAAGTTCAGCAGTTCAAATCCACCAACTGCTCCTCGGAAACTCTAAACAGGGTCACATGAGTCGGAACTGACTTGATGGCATTTAACACCAACATACTCTGGTAGCCTAAAGGGTTACAAGATGAGCTGCTGCCCCGTGGGAGAAAGATGTGGCTTTCTGCTCCTGTGAAGATGGATAGCCTTGGCAACCCTACACAGGGCTGCTATAAGTCACAATCCACTCCACAGTCACTCAAGATCATGAATTTAGAAAAACAGATAAAATACATGATCATGGTCCCACACCAAGTTTGTGGAAATTAATCAAGGTAACTAGTTCCTAGAGTGCCAGTATATCATTAAATGCAGAGTACAGAATGACAATAATTTGAAACAGTGTTCTTTGTTAGTCACATGAATTGTGATATAAATAAGTCAGTTAGCCCCAGGACTCACAAAATCCATTTTCTTTTTGAGTTACCTATGCCCTAAGATAAGGAGCTCTGGTAGTGTAGTGGTTACGAATTGGGCTGCTAACCTCAAGGTTAGCAGTTCGAAACTACCAGATGTTCCACAGGAGAAAGATGAGGCGATCTGCTCCCGTAAAGATTTGCAGCCTCGGAAACCCTGTGCAGGGTCACTATGAGTCAGAACCGACTCCACGGTACTTAACAACAACAACAATATGCCCTAAGATAAGCAGAGGACTGTTAACTACAAGATTGGCAGTTCAAACCCACCAGCTGCTCCTCAGAAACCGTATACAGGGTCGCTATGAATTGGAATCAACTTGATGGTACTTAATGACAATATACTTTAAGAGAAGCAACATATTAGTGAAGTATGTAGGATTATATGCCCTCACATTTAAAATAAGATGGACAGGGGGATAGAGCAAGAGAGCCCACGGTCCTGAAGAAGGCCATTTCTTTACACTGGTGGTGGTGTGCCATTGAATCACTTTAATCTCATAGTGGCCCTATATAGTGTTTCTGAGGCTATAAATCTTTAAAGGAGAAAAAAGTCTCACCTTTCTCCCTCAGAGAAGCATGTGGATCAGACTGCTGACCTTGAGAAGCCTAACCCAGGGCTCCTTATTTTTTATCTGTAGTAAAAAGTAACTATTGCTAATTCATTAATCTCTAGTTATGAATCCAATTGTATTCACATAATGTTATGCTTTACGTGTGGTTATAAGACCATAGCTTCCCGTTTCCTGACAGTATGATTATCAATCAATTCCTATTTCTTTATTATTCAAAAAGTAAGGAAAAAGACAAATAGAAAGGAAGATTCTTCATATATGTATATGTATATATATATAAATCAAGCTTCTTTCACAACCCAAAACTCAAAAAAAGAACAAAACACTGGCTTTGCACATTCCCAAAACTGGCCAGACTGAAACACAACGGACAGAAGCTGCTATGTGTGCCTTGCCATCAACCATGGCTCATGTAGTACACCTGTGCATATGACGCTTAGCACACCAGCCCAGGTTGCTTGGCTGCTGGGTAAGCCAAAACTGGACATGCGTGGTCTGGCTTATTATGACCCAACACACAGGTACTGGCCAAAAGTTATGAGAAATTACCAAGACTTAAAAATATCTACTCTAAATGTGCAATTCAATAAACAATCTGTATCTTCCCATGGCAAAAACAAAGTCAATGAGTCTAGCTAATTATGGGCAGTTCCTGGATTACAAAATGAGTTCTGTTCCTAAGTCAATCTTGAAGTTGAATTTGTATGAAAGTTGAACACTTAGGTACAGTTCATACACCAAATGTTTGTGTTGGGATATATGGTCTCTTTCTAGGCATAAACAATGTGAAAGAAACACTTCCAGATACGCTGTTGTGGTTCCATGCTGTCAAGTCAGTTGTGACTCATATGGACCCTGCAGAGTTTTCGATGTGCAGTTGGTGGGTTTGAGGTCCAGTGTTATCCTACAGTGCCACACCAGGAGTCAGGAAAACACCTTTAACATAATAATAATGATGGTGACCTCTGACGTCACAAAAGTAGCCCATAATTTTGAACCACTGCATTTAGTTCCAGTTTTTGAAGGACTTCATGGGGACTGGTTCCTAACTATAGGTTAAGTCTGGAACTGTCTGTACTTCAGATTTATTCACAAACTGAGAATAGAATTTCATCTCAGTAATTTCTTGCTCATAAGTCAGTGCTGAATTTAAAAAATATAAAGGGAAAAGACACTATAATTACCTTAAAATATTAGCTATACAATAATCCTTGCACAAGTTACTTAAATAAAGATGTCAGGAAAAAGTGATTTCCTTAAGAGGACAATTATAATTTCAACAGGAAAATCATCAGAAGGCTAAGTTAAAACTTTTTAAGAAAGCATGAAATGTCATATTAAAAAAATAAGGATCACTGCTCTCAGAATCTTTTTTTCTTCATAATGATCAAAATGCAGGCTTAAACAAGCGACAATCTCATTCATTATATAAATTAATTTTTCCAAAGCCTCATGAAATTGGTAATAAGCAGCTTATTTCCAAGTTTTTGAAAACTTAAAAGTTTTACTGCTTCTACCATAACTCATTAAGGCTGGAATGAAACAACAGGCAAAAAGTATCTAGTGCTGCCACCTAGAGGTAGAGATTCTGAATTTTAAAACGTGCAAAACAGAGCTGCTACCTATAACTGTTCATAATTATTGTTCTTCCAAAGACTTGCCGGCAGAACTGACATTAAAGGCGAAATCTTGAGGGTAACAGTTGCCATATATGCATATATACTGTATATCAATATTAAACTGTTTACCATTCGGTTGTTGTTGTTTAGTGCCGTCAAGTCAGTTGCCGAGGCACAGCTGGTGAGTTTGAACTGCTGACTTTGTAGTTCAAACTGACCTGGTGGTTGAGTGCTTATCCTATGGCGCCACACCATGCAGTAAACAACTCTATTAGACTTTGAGCAGGAGATGCAAAATAGAATTTCAAATAGTCTGTATCTCTTCTATGACCCCTGGTGATGCAGTAATTAAATGTTTGTCTTCTACCGGAAACAACAGCAGTTCAAACCAACCAGCCACTCCACAGGAAAAACTGACAGCCTAGGAATCATTACAGGGCAGTACTACTTTATGCTACAGGGACATTCTTAGTAGGACTCAAACGTGAGTTTGCCTTGGTTTTGGTTCTACAGAGAGCTTTTACTGAACATCTAGTTTAAAGAAGTGTATGCCCCATTTGAAGAAAAACTGCCAGTTCTATTAGGCTAGCTTTTGGCAGATGACGTCAATTGTTTAGTCAAGCACAAAATAATACAAGGAACAGCCTATTTGGGCTTTGCAAAACCAGTTATCTGGGAGAAGAGCAGCCGTGGGTTTCCCCACAATAAGCAGAAATGTTGCATGCTTTCATTCAATCAGGTGACTTGTAGTACTCCAGTTCAACCATTTTTCTTATGGTGGTTGCGGGGAGGAGGGTGCAGGGCCACAAGAGGCAATGGAATGAAATTCAAATATTGTCACTTATAATTAGAAA